GGTATTTTTTGCATGTTGTACAATGTTTTAGGTACTTCTTGAAAGCACCATTTATACCTGGTATCCAGAACCTCTGGCGAACTAGTGAGATTTTGTGGTCTTTTCCACAATGTGCATGTTGACTGTGGATTTTTGATAAAATCTTGGGAATCCGCGCCCCGCCCCCAGAAGAGCATCATCGTCGTCGATGATACAAGTGGTAGAGTAATACTACGGACTATTGAGCATAGCCGTGTTATCGGCTGGTTGTTGAGGCATCCTGGCGACCAAGGTAGTAGGAGTTGGATTGTAGAAGGCGGGAAGGCAGTTGTAGGAGAGCGAGGTGGTGTTGTAGATGGCGACGATGAGTTATGGCGAGTGAAATTGATGCTAATTATTAAGGCTACAGAATCCAACCGCAACTGAAAACGCAAAGCTGAGAACCATGTAGCGCTTTTCAAGATAGCGTTTGTTATTATTTATGGTGATATCAAACTTCATTAGAAATTGTTTCTCACTGATTTCGTGTATTTAGAGTTTTGCTGGATGATTTCCCAGCATTTATGACTTCCGACAAATTTCACTTGACAGAAGTGAGAACACACATCCACCGGCGCCGTTAGGACTTCTATATCCAGTTGGTGCCAAAGATCACAAATTGGCAGCGTACTAAAACCAGTGTACCAACCAAGTCAGTACCGTGAGAAATGTTGCAGCCGCCACTGTACCTGTTCTGAAGTGCTTTTTATGACCTCCACGAGAGGAGTTGGCACCTGAGATCCGGGAACCATGGATGGTGTAGTCGCACACTGTGATAGTTTTTATCGAATAATGGTTGGCTAGACATGGTAGTTATAGTTCAGAGTAACTTGAAGAGAAAGTTGACTTGGTCGCAAAGGCAGTGGGCTACGCACTTCTCGTTGACCACGGTTTCAAAGGCGAGATTATTGAAGTAGAAACATTCTTTGGTGAGCACTGTATAAAAATTCGTGCGTTTTACATTCAACTATGACTGCTTTGTTTGATGCAGGCTTGAGCCTGCTATGATAGTAGCTCCATGTACACGATTATAACAGCCCAGACAAATGAAATGTAACGCCTCAACTCAACTTCTTTAACTGCTTCAGCTAATACAACAAACTCTAGTGTTATTGTGAACTCATTCCCATTCGAAATGGCTAACTTGCTTCCAGAATGAGTTAGAGTAAGAAAGGTGTCTCCACTGGCAGGGCAGCAGATCGATTTCTTAGTACGTAGATCGAATCTTCAGAGCACTGGCATCGATGCACGGAGTTATCACAGTGGCATTGTATGCGAGTAGCGCATGACGAAGAGTGATTCTGAGTTTGAAACTCACTAGTGCACTCCACTGGAATTCGAATTCATCTGGTAAGACAGGTTTCCAGAGATAGCGAAGCGGATGTTCATCTGCTCATCACTATGAGTACACTTCTAACTACAG